GCTTACTTAGACCAGGAAAAAAAACAAACTGCAAAGATAAATAGTTATTCGAGCAACCAGACAAAAAAAAATAAAAAATCTACTAGCAACCATGCCAATTCTACCTGGATTCTTGAGTTTCGAGAATAGTGGAGAGAGCATGAAGCACTTTGGGGCTAGGGTTGTCAGAGTCCGCAGTGATTTTATCAATCAAAGACTGCGCTGTCGCCATCAAAATATCATTTTCTTCGTCATCTTGCTGATCCTCACCCTCCTCCGCCACCTCCGCCGCCGTTACGGAGGGTTCCGGCTGCATCTCAAGTTCAGCACCCGTCGACGCCTCCATTGCAATAATTACTTGCTTAAATCTGCGACAAATGAACCAGCGAAACCTTAACAAAGACGACAGAGATTAATTTCTTCAGTTGCTTCCTCGGATATAAGCACAATTTTCAGGAGTTGGAAGAAAATTAAATTGATTGTTTGTATTTATAGTGTTTGGAGAAAACGGGGAAAGGGTATGAAGAGGTACCGTTGTTAAAGCGTGAGGTACTTCTATGCAAGGGTCTCTTTCTCCGAGTCCTATTTAATCGTCACTACAACACGGGTGTACTTGAATTAAAAAAAAAAATGTTCAAAAGACAAACACTATAAAATATTTTTCAAATTTTTTAAGAAGTTTTAAAATACATTATTAGTTTTAAAATGACGCTAAAGTGTTATGCATGAACATAATAGTTTTGAATCGCAATAGTTTTTTCAAAGTTAAATAATTGATTTTAGTACAATTGTGTTGAATTTTACTTTGTATAATAATAGTTATGGTGGCAATGAGCGTCTAGAAAGACCGTTTATGTAACTTGATATTTAAAATAATAATGCTAAGTAGCAACTTTGAACGCATTGAATACTTACACGAAAATTGGTATAAAATATTAATGGTATGCTTGTTTATAAATTTTTTTGGTTTTTATTGGTTTTTATAGTTAATTTTGAAAAAGTTGAGTGAGTTAAGTTTGAGTGAGATTTTGAGTTTGTATAAAAATAATATTTAAAATTAAATGATTATAGTTGATTTGATGTAAAAGTAAAAGAGATGTAATTAAAAGTGATGACTAGTTAAATTTGATGTGATGTATATGAATGATTATTTTTTATTATTTAATTATACTAATAATATTAAAGATAATGATGTTGAGTTGGATTTGGGTTGAGATTGATTTATTTTTAAAAAAAAACTTATAAACAAGCACCCTCTAACAGTGCTCATTCGCATAACTTTTCGCACTTTCTGAGATATAAAAAGTTAAACTGCGAAAACATTGTGCGATGAATGTACGATCATTATGCAAAGAGCAATACTATAGAGCCCACTTGAGTTACAACTTGGGTTACAACTCAAGTGTAAATGTATTATTTTTTAGCAATGCTATATTGCTAACCTAGTATACAACTAGGTTGACAACACAAGTGAAAACATTCAAAAAAATAAAAATAAAAAAATACACAAATTGATGTTTTCACTCGTGTTGTCAACTTCGTTGTACATTAAATTGGTAATGTAGCATTTTTCATTATTTTTTGATAATACATTTATATTTGGGTTGTTGTACCTCAAATTGTCATCTAAGTTTGCTACATAGCATTACTCTTATTCAAATGATATGCAATAGTAAGGGAAAAAAATTTAGACCAACCTGAACTTTACATGGTTTGTGAAAATGCAACCTAATCTTTTTATTTTGATAAATAGCAACCTGAACTACACGGGTTTGGTAAATAACAACCCAAACGTGCCGGATCGCCGGAAATTTGAAATAAAGGGGTGTTTTGGTAACTTTAAAAAAAATTAAATACAAAATCAAAAAGAAGGAATAAAAATCGGGACTTGCCTTCTCTTCCATTTTGCCTTCGCTTTCAATTTCTCCCGGTCCCGTCCCTGCAGATACAATGGAGTGGCGACAAACTGCCGAATTCAATGTGGAACGTTTCTGCCACTGTAGGAAGAAGGTGGTGACGAGAACATCATGGAGCGACATCAATCCTGGAAGAAGATATATTTCATGTGAAAAATTTAAGGTGTGTTCTTCAAATTTTAAAACCCTAATTTTTTTAATTTGGGTGAAATCGATATGGGTGTTGGACATGGTGTATCTGAATGGGTGTATATAGATGAAATGGAGATGGGTGTATATGAATCATGGTGCATATAGATGAAACCGAGATGTGAATCAATCTTCTGCTTACACCCTTCATGCTTTCTCTCTGTTTTGTGTGCAGATAAAAATGTGTAATTGAATTTTGAAACCATAATTTGTTAAAAGTTGATTTGCAGTTGAAGAAGATTAAATTTTCATGTGAAGGAGATTTTTCCATTATGGCTAATTTTGTTAAGGTTTTTAATCATGTAGGAGGAAGGAGGTTGCCCTTATTTTGTATGGATTGAGAAACCACTTTGTCCTAGGGCTTGCCAAATCATTCCCGGGCTGTTGAGATGAGCAAATAAGTTTGAAGCTGAGGCTGAGATGCTCCAAGCAGATATTCATGATCTTGAAGTGGAACAAAAACAAATGTTGGCAAAAGTTGAGAAACTTGAAGCAACTATAAAGAGCAAGAGATTTGGGGAGCGATGTTTGTTCATAGCGCTTTTTTTTTCATGTGTCCTAATTTATTGTAAGGTGTAGTCTAATGTAGTAGTTTGTTCATGGTACTTCTGCTTTCTTGGATTTTTATTCAGTGTGTTGCAATGTAGTAGTGATGGGATCCTTTGCAGTTGTGAACAATATTTATTGTAATGTAAATTTGGGATTTGATTTCAATTGACATGTGTGTTCCTTCTGTTTTATAGCTGCTTCTGTTTTATAGTAGTGATGGGATCTTTCTATTTTGTAGTTGCAGATATGCTATCACTTTCTTTCCTGAAAATTGTGATTGCATTGACTAAACAGCAAAACTCTTGCAATATCATTCCCCTAGTTCACACAGTAAACCAACTAAAGCACCTCAGCCACTGAGCATATCATGCCCCTAGTTCACACAGTAAACAAAACTAAACACACCTCAACCACACGAGCACTCTTGCAATAAACCAAAATAGAAAACAAGAAGTGCAGAATACTACAACACATGGAAGTGCAAAAATTTTATATCAGTAGCAAAACATCAAGTGTTTTCATTCATAAGAGTTTCAATGGTCCAATCCACAAGAAAGTGCAGAAGTATTTCATATCAATACATTAACATCCAACTAAAGTCTCAAAAGTACATATAACATGCCAACTACAATCAAAGATCCCTAAATTTCCCAAAACAATCCCAAACATGACTGGTTATTGTGTCCCCTGCACATTTTGATTCTTGGATGATGTTTCTTTTTGGTTGGAAAAAGTAGCTCCATGAAATACCCCAGGTGGCCTCCATAATGTCTTCTTCTGGTTTTTCATTTTTTCAGGAACAAGCCTTTGCACCTAAACAAGGAAAGCAAGTGTATAAAAATAAACAGAAAATAAAAAATTAAACTAAAACCTTCATAAATGTTTACCTGAAATTTTTGCTTGTTTAATCCAAGAGTTTTCATAGTCCCACTGCTTGATATAGGAATATTACTACTCTGCTACAATGAAAATACATAAATATTCAATGAATGGTTTTTCAGAAAAATATTTATAACACATGAGGTAATATAATATAATACCTGGGAATGTGAGACTTGTGTACCATGACTCTGAAGTATGAAAGACTCTTGAGATTGTACATTTTCCCCATCAGATATCTTTCTCCTTTTTTCCTACATTTAGACATTCAAACATTCACACACTTTATAAAGTAAACAAATAGATAAATAATTACAAAGAAATAGGCTGAAGTAGTTACTACTTACCTGCTCATTATTTGTTGCCTCAGTTGTAGCTACCAGCTCCTGTTGAGATGAATGGTTGAGCTTTTTCAGTGGGCACCCTCTCATATTGTGGTTCTCCTTGTGGCATAAAGAACATTTCACAGTGGTCCCTTTTTTACTGAGTTTTACTTTAGCTTCCTTCTTTTGTTTAAGCTTATCTTGTACCTCATCAGGGGCTTTTCTCCTGTTGTTTTTCTTTTGGCCTACCAGACATCTTACAATGTGGAGGAGGTTGTAGAGGATGCACATCAACATGTGGCCATTCATCAGGTGGATTTAATGCCCCCATCATTGTTGAGTAGGCCCTCAAAAAGGCCTCTTTTGAGTACCAACTATCCACATAATCCTCTGGATCATGTCCCAAAGAAAAACAAGCCACTAATTGCATGTTCACATGGTATCCCTGTAAGCTCCCATTTTCTGCATGAACATGTTCTTTCTCCAATATGCACCTTAAACTTGTTTCCATAAGGCCCTTCTACCTCAAACTCATGAACCCAATTCCAGTTTGCAATGAAATCCATGGACCTTTTTTTGAGTTCTTCCAACAACTTCACAATTTTGGGGCATATAACTCCATTATAATTCATCATTTGGTCCCTCCTCATATACATTCTCTTCATGAGTATCATCCTAATAGTTTCAAGCATATGAACTATAGGACTACTTCTAGCTCTCAGAATTAAAGAGTTAAAACTCTCACTCAGGTTGTTCAACAAAATGTCACTTTTAGCTTGGAAACCAAAATGTGACTTAGACCATTGTGCTGCAGGTTTTTTAACCAACCAGTCAAATGCTTGTTTATCCCTTTTTTCTAGTTCAGTCATGGCAGAATGAAAATCAACAACTCTTGTAGACCTGGCAGCCCTCCACAAGATGCTTTTCAGAGCAACACCTTTAAATGAAGCCTTGAAATTGTTGTATAGGTGCTGAACACAAAATCTATGTTCACAACCGGGCATAAGAGTCTCAACAGCATTAATTAGACCCTTTTGTTTGTCAGACATTATAATCCAACTGTGGTTGTTTTGAATACACAGATCTGACTTCAGCAACTCTATAAACCAGTGCCAAGATTTTGTGTTTTCTTGTTCCACCACTGCATAAGCAAATGGATACATGCAGTTATTTGCATCTATACCAACTGCTGTCAACAAGATTCCACCACAAGAGGTTTTTAAGTGACATCCATCTAAACAAATAACAGGTCTACATCCTTCCCTAAAACCCTTCTTCAAAGCACCCCAACAAATATACATTCTTTTAAATATTGGCTTACCTTCCACTAACTTGCTCTTAATTTTGACTGTGGTATCAGGATTTGATTTTATCAATTCCTTTGCATATGACCACAACATTGCATATTGCTCAGCATCTGTCCCAACACCTATGGCTTTCACAATTTTCTTGGCCTGATACATCTGCCATTTGTTGAAAATCAGCTTCACTTCCCTTTGCATTATTGCCACCATACTCTCCACTGGCCATCTTGGATCACTTAGCAGCTTATCTTTGTATTGATTGGCAATCCAAGTAGCAGTAGCATGAGAGTTTTTTTGTGTCCTTGGACATCTATGCCTACCATTGTAGGTTTTAACTTGGACAGTATCTTCATTTCCAAGCTTAGATGCATAGATGACCCATGGACATGATTTATGTTTACACTTTGCCTGCACCTTGTAGCTAAAGTTAATAGTGAAAGTGACTTGCCTACCTTGCAAATGGAGTGATTTTTAACAGCCTTCCTAAAAGTAGGAATGTCAGGGAATTGCATTCCCAGCTCAAAGCTAGGATTTTTCATGTCTAATTCCTTATTAAACACTGGGTGCTTGTTTTGCTGTTTTCTCAAATTTAGATCAGGGACAGGAATGTTAGAGCTCTCAGTAATGCCATTATTCAAATGAAGGCCCCCCCATTCCACCTCCTCATCAACATTACCATCAAAGAGAATATCATCTTCATCATACATCTCTTCATCACTCTCATATAATGCATCAGAATACTCAGAATCTGAACCAACAGATTGCTCATAGTCACTATCAAGCTCTACCTGATCAGTTATGTTCTCTAACCCCTCCCCATCTACATTGTCTACTTCTGGTAGAACCTCCTCCTCTACACTATATGCATCACATAAATCAATATCCCCACAATAAGGTAAAGGCTCATCTATGACAGGAAGTTCAGAAAATATTCCATTCTCCATCTCATTTTCATGTTCAACATATATGCCAATCATCTTGTTCTTATCAACCCACTGAACCATGTTGCAAACATCATTATCAGTCTCTAGGATAAAAAGGTCCTTGCATTCATGTATTTCAGTTTTACTACAGTGAAATGACTTAATCATAGATAAACCTATATCCTTAGCCATACACTTAAGCTCAAGCAATGATATTTCATCAGGATCACAAAAATCAATATGAGATATACCACAATTCGGGCCCATGTAATGTGTACCGTCTAGGTTAGGCAATGAACCATTGTGATAGAACCTAATTGTAAATAATGCGGATTTAACACCTGTAAGAACAAAAAGTGTTTCAACACATTGGTATGAACTTATTTCAAAAATCATAAAATGGTCGACACAATCCATAAACCCAAACTCATTTACAATTTGGTCGACAGAATACATAAACCCAAACTCAAAAATCATAAATTGGTCGACAGAATACATAAACTCAAAAGCACATACACTCACCGTAATCGGGCGTCATTCTATCGGAGGGAATGTCAGTCTCTTGATCGCGAATCTTCCAACCCATTTTTGAGTTGCAGAATGGCAAGTGAGCGTGATTTGAGTTGCAGAAATCTACCCTAATTTTCTGATTTGTGCATAATGCTCGAAGGAAAGAAAAAAAATGCCAGAAATTTGTCCTAATTTCCCTGAAAAAAAATGCCAGAAATTTGTCCTAATTTCCCTAATTGTGCCTCAAAAATAGCGGGAAAACTGTATGTTGGGCGAAATTAAATGATAAGACAAGGATGCCCTTACAAATTAAATGATAAGACCAAAATGCCCCTTAATAGACCAATCTGTAGCTCACCGGAGTAAGTTTCCGGTTAATTTTATGCGATCCGGCACGTTTGGGTTGTTATTTACCAAACCCGTGTAGTTCAGGTTGCTATTTATCAAAATAAAAAGATTAGGTTGTATTTTCACAAACCATGTAAAGTTCAGGTTGGTCTAAATTTTTTTCCCCAATAGTAATGGGAACCGTTAGCATATTTTTTTATTTTTTTTTCGTTTTTACCCATTAGCATAATGTTAGATGTGAAATTTTTTTTTTCCATCGAGATTTGGGTGTCATTCATGATTTTCAGTTGCGAACAATTAAGAGAGACTCTACATTATTATTTTCCCATCTTTGATACCAGCCATGGAGCAGGAATCTTCCACCTCAAGAAATCCCCAACTTCCGAACAAATGGATTGAGTAACACAAATTTCACCTCCTGTTCAATCTTCACTTTTTTCTTCTTTCTGTCCTTTTCTTTTTAATTTTTGCCTCTAGAATTGTCTCCCATGCATCACTCCGAGCACCAAATGCAGGATTCAAGAATCACTCAAGAAAAGGCTTATCCAAGAGGATTTTTTCACCTGGAAAATACCACAGTTGAGACACCGAGAAAATCAAGATTTGGACAGGGGTGAAAGTGAAATCCTCAAGTTTGTTGGTGGGGTTGACCTGAGTTTCTCCAAAAATGATCCCTCAATTGCTTGTGCTTCGCTTGTGGTTTTGGATCTTTCCACTCTTGAAGTTGTTTATGAAGACTGCGCCATAGATGAGCTCAGAGTCCCTTATGTTCCTGGTTTCTTAGCTTTTAGAGAGGTCGCTTTTGCTAACCCAATATCTTTATTTACTTGTTTTTACTTCATTGGAATTGATTCTTGACAATAGTTTCAGATTTTTCTTTTTAGTACAATTGACATATTTTTCTTTGCTGCGAGGCTTCTTGACAATATATCCAGTGTATGAGGACAATATTAAATTAATTGTATTATCAAATTAAAAAGGCATTGTTTTGCTATACTCAACGTTCTTGCTGTGCCTATATCTTGCTAACCTTACACTTCCTCATTTTTTTCCACATCTTTATGCATATAGTCCATTCAGCATCGAGTGTACAGGTAGTAGGCAAAGCTCCATGCTGACGCAATTGATACGGGAAATAAGTTACAGGCTTTGTTCTCTTTGATTGATAGCCGTCTGCTACTATAATGGATTCTTCTTTGAAAAAAAAATGCTCATGAATTTCCTCTGTTGCTAGGTCTTGAAAATTATTTGTTAAAAAGATTTGAATTTTATATTAGGCGCAGCATGCTTTGGTATTCTATAGGTCAACAGATAGTTACCAATTCGCTAGGCTTCTCAAGTGGTGATTGTAGATTCTTTTTGCAAACAAAAGCTGCGCATAATTTGTTGGGTATCACTTTCAGGCCCCTGTGCTTCTAGAACTTCTCGAGAAAATGCAGAAGAGAACACTTGCATCATATCCCCAGGTGACTAGTTACCTTGTCCACACTTTTCATGTCATATTAGGCAAAATACGTTTGTGTGTGTTAATGAAAAGAACTGTAATGGATTATGGGAGGTGCCTGTGATTGGCTACTAATTATTGGTATTGCTAAATTCGAAAGCTAACATCATTTTCTTTATTGGAACCTCTTAAGTATAACTATTTGGACAGGTATTGATGGTTGATGGCAATGGCCTACTACATCCACGAGGCAAGTCATATTTCAGTCTCCTCAGGGGAGATATACTCAATGATAACTTTTTGTGCATTAATTCTTGAAATTCGAACTTCTCTGCTATTCTGCCATATGCTTGTTGCTACTCCAACTTATTATAACTGAAGATATCTCTTTAAGATAATGTATCTTTGTTTTCTATTGAAATCCTTGGATGGGCTTTTAGGATTTGGATTGGCTTGTCATCTCGGTGTTTTGGCTGATCTACCTACAATTGGAATTGGAAAGAATGTAAGGTTTAGCACAAAATCTTGCTATAAGTCAAGACATAATCCTAAGTATCTTTTATTTTGCTCGTTCTCTTTTTTCTATTCATCTTTCTATTTCCCCTTTTGATTCACTTGTAAACTGAATTTTTTTTTTTTCAGTTACATCACGTTGATGGTCTTTCTCAACAAAGTGTGAGAAAACAGCTGGAAGCTAACGGAAACTCATGCAGTGATATTGTCCCTTTGATCGGCAACTCTGGGTCCACCTTAGGGGCTGTACGTAACATATTATTACCCTACTATTATTCTTTCCCTCGAGTTGATTGTTTGTTAATATAAATTCCTCATCCTACGTGTGGGAGAAATATATGATCTTTCACCTTGAGTTATAAATTGCAATTTTGTGCATATGTACCTATATTTCTTCTTCTCTATTTTCTCCCCCGTCTTTCCTCTTCTTTATCTCTATTTCCCTATACATATTTACTAGTACAACACCCATGTATTACATGGGTGAGAACGGTGCTTCATCCCAGATCGTTCATGGACCAATTCATAAAAGTGGGATCGGTATCCGGACAAGTTAAATCTAGGACTGTCCCAGACCGCGCCCACCCTACTATAGATAATCCGAACCTAAATATTTTTGGATTAGAAGTAAATTAAATCTACCCAAGCCTAATAACGAAGCATGTAATTTTGCCACATAGGATCCCGAAGCATGCGAGCATGCCACATAGGCTCAGCACGTTCTGAATTAATATATAGGGGGGGATGGGACCAAGTTTTAATAGAAATAGATGTCATGTTAATGGATATATGAGCTCCTTAGTGAAAGCACTTCCTGTCATTTCAAGTGTTGAAAGCATTAACATGTCCCGAATTTGTCACACAGGCGATGCGATCGGCTGAACGCTCCATGAAGCCCATATTTATTTCAGTTGGTCACCGTATATCTCTTGCCACTGCCACCCTAATCGTCAAACTATCCTGCAAATTTCGGGTCCCGGAACCCATTAGGCAGGTATGGCTGAGTTTCAATTTTTCACCTTATGAAGGTCCATACAAACTACCTAGTAAACGGATCTGGTAAGTGGTGATAACTTTAAAAAGTTAAACTGTATGCCTAAATTTTACCATAATTATCTACATTATTTGCCCTCCACATCTGAAATCGAGAAAACTGAATCCATTTTTCTCTCACTTCGTATACTTCAGTCCTAAAAAATGATGCATGTTAATTTTTTGAAAAGCCAATGATACAACCCACATCTATAACAGAAGAAAATCGGAGTACTGATTTTTCATTTTTACTGCTCAAACTACAAAGGATGCAGTTATAGCGTCACACATGTATAAACCTATTTATGTGAGTTCTTGCCATAAGTTACTTAATGATTTTGACCTGAACAAATATACTTGTCTCTTCTCATTTTCAGGCGGACATTAGGTCGAAAATTCACCTTCAGAAGCACGGTTTAAGCTAACTCAACCATGGATTTATGTCGAGGAAGCTGCATATTATATAACACTTGTGTATGTATATAATTTCCATTTCAAGAAAAAAAGGTTGCCATATTTATAGTCATCATCTTGAGTTTTATGCAATGACAGATTATTCTCACTCTCACCAACAAAATTGAGTCATCATCGAGTGAAGTAGCAATAAATTCCGTCGTTAAGTTTCTGTTTTACAAACGCCGAATCTTGTAAATTCAAACTACATATATTCCCTCCTGTGAACTATGCTATTGGGTTGCACTTTACCCAGGTATGATAATCTGTCAACTCAGTAAATGTGACTGCAGCAGCACACAACAAACATATACCCTCATCCCATTATATACAGGCAAAAAGGACCAACAGCAGCACAAGCACCCGAACCGCCATCCCAGGCGGCGGGCCCCACTCGACCCCACCACCGCTCTCCCCTCCCCGCGTGTCAATCATGATCTCAAACCTACACTCCCCAGCCGACGGGTCCCGCATGGTGACCACCGAAAGGTTCGCAAACCTACACGCATCCTCCCTCTGATCCTGAATCTGGTAGTAGTTGTTAAACGCATACGAGATATTCCCCCGAGCATCCAGTCCCCCGCACGAGCTCCCGTTCCCTAGGCTCGTGCAGTCCGCGCGCGCGCACGCGTAGCCCACACTGTCGGCCACCCGTGTGTCGTCCATGCTGGCCTCGCCAGCCATCACGCACCACCGTCTCGGCAGCCGGCGAACTCCCTCTGCCCCCACCACCACACCACCACCACCACGCGTTCCGAGGCTGAGATTGTACTTTGGAGTACCGTCGTAGTAAAAAATCCCCCAGTGTCGCTCGAAGCTCCCCGGCTGGATGCTCTTGGCGTCCTCGTCCACGAGGCTGAAGAGGTAAGCGTTGATGGGTACTCCCGGCCTCATGGGAGTCCCCCGGTTGACTCGGGACAAGAAGCCCTGGTTGAACCGCTGGGCGTAACCCGGGTTTGCGGTTGGCCCACCGTCGGTGGGCCACCCGACTTCGCCAACGATGATCGTCATGTTGGGGAAGCCGTTGGTGCGTAAGGCCCACACGAGGGTGTCGAAGTTGGCGTTGAAGACGTTGGTGTAGGTGTGGGGCCCGTCGAGGATTGGGGAGGAGTAGGTGTCGTCAAAGAAGGCGTAGTCGAGGGGGAATGAGGGGTCGTTGTGGAGGCTGATGAAGGGGTAGATGTTGACGGTGAAGGGGGAGGCGTTCTGGTCGAGGAAGGTTACGATTTGGAGGATGAGTGTGCGGATGTCCGAGCGGAAGTTGCCAGAGGAGGGGAGTTGGGATGTGCTCTGGTAGACGTCGGCGTTGAGTGGGACGGTGGCGCGGACACGGTTGCCGAGGCCGGCCTTGACGATGGCTGCCTGAATATTTTGTAAAGCGGGGAAGGTTGTGTTTTCGTATGTTCTGTTGTAGGTTGAGAGGAAGGGCTCGTTCCCGACCGCTACGTACCTTATGGGGGAACGGAAGGGGAAAAATAATT